GAGTCGATTTAAATGTGAGTGTAGGATGTGAATTTTAATGCTTATGTTACATCCTAGCTCTTGCAAATTCGAAAGCATGCACTCAACGTGCTCAAAATAATTCTCAGATTTTTGTTCCCTAAAAAGTTACTCATAATTAAAGAAATGAATTCCATGCTTTCGATCCTACTTCAGTCATTGCTTTGATAAAATCAGGATCCTTCACTAGTTGCCTAATTGGTGGCCCATCAAAAATTCCTGCTTTTAATTTTTCATTACTTAATCCTGGAAACTTGAAAACAAATTGAAACATTCACCAGTTTTGTCAAACGCCTTCACAAACTGTTTCGCTATACCAACTTTAAGTAGAAGGGTCTTTAGATTTGCTAGAAAGTACCTCTCGTAATTTCAGTTGAGGTCGTTGAGCAGAAATAGTAGGATACGACCACTTATTTCAATATCCAGGATTAATTCCATTTATTTTCACAACGCAGAAGTAACAGTCGTGTTGGTGATTCCGGGGTTCTCGCCAAATCATGAGTGTTATGAAATTTATTGCATCCCTTTTTCCATTGGACCACAATCGTAAAAATATAACACATTTCAGGCATACAATATGAGGAAACCACGACTTATCTTGATAGCACAATTGTATTTAACAGTATAGAAGATACGCAGTTTTCATGAAGTGCGATATAGATTTTCGATATTTTTCAAAAATATATTCACCATATATACGAGGGTGGATTGATAAGTTTCCGGCCTAACCAAGAGATGACGCCACTAGGCCTACCTTGAGGTGACATTCTATAGTACCATCCTTGGATAGCTTGTAGCTATAGTTTCAGCCCGATCTCCTTGCTAGTGTAGGTTTGACAGCACGCTGAACAAGACGCCTCTGTGGTTTTCGTAAAAATGGAAAAGCAGGAAAATCGTNTGTAACAGAAAGGGATGCAGACAAGCAAAATTTGAATATGTTGCCAACATCGGACTTTAAAGAAAGTTCAACATTCTGATGAATTTAGGAAAGCAAAGATGCTTCTTTAAAGATATAATTCCAACCACGAAGTTGTAAAGCCGATCCTAATCATTTGCGTACCTAAACAACCTCTAACCGCTGCAGCGCTCACTATTATTCGGTTATCTCTTTTCATTTTGTCTGTACTACTCATGAAGCATTTCCTAACTTAACAAGGGCGTATTTAAATGTAACAAATGACTACAGTCTCAAGTGGAAATAAAAAGGAAAATACGTCCATTCTCACAGATAATTTATTGTGATTAATTAAAATAAATTAAAAGGAATACTCACCCCTAATTACCACAAATAATTTAATTTGAGCGACAGTCTCGCATTGATAATGCCCACGTATGAAGTGGACGAAACACGTGTCCGCTCAAATAAAATTATTTGAGGTACTTAGGGGTGAGTGTTCCTTTTAATTTTTAATTAATATTTACCACAGTCTCCTCTTTCTAATTTTAATTTTTTCTTGTTGGAAATGACTTAAAATTACGTAATCATGGAAAACATGAAATAATCGGAAGGAAGGTGTTTTGAGTAATTTTTATTGAAAATAAACACTTTAAGATTACACTTAACAGTTCATTTTGGTAGTTGCCGTTAATGGTTAAACTCCTGTAGTATTGCTTGTAGTTGGAAAAGGTCTATTTATAAGAAATTCAGAAGAAAAAAATAAGGGGAAGGTGTTTTAAACAATTTTCTTTGTAAATAAATATGATATAGTTATATAACCTATGCGAAATTCACAATCACTTATCATAGATAACAGTCACTAACCAGTCGTTTCTGACTTCGCATCTGAAGTTCAAGCTTCATTCAATTAAAAAGTGATATCCGCTTAACTGTTGTTTATACGATATATGTAGATATAATTTGTTCCCGTTCGAAGAAGGTGCAGGTATAATGTATGTATATAAAATAGGGGAAGGGGGCACTGTTGCATACCTTAACTTAACCTAAGTTAATTTATGTTGTGTTACATTAAGTTGAGTAGGCTAGATTAAGGTATGCAACAGTGCCCCCCTACCTCTATTTTATATACATACATTGTACCTGTAACTACAGTGGAAACATTTGTATTTATTTATATACTATACACGACTGTTGAAAAACGTAAACCGTAGAGGGTGTAGAGGCGAGTCAAAAACGGCTGTCACCCTATGTGTATCTATGACGGCTGTTGTCTATGATAAATAACTGTGATATTCCCATAGGTTATAGACCATAGATAATAGATACACAAAGGGTTATAGACCATCGTTATAGATATTTCCTGAATTATCTGTATTAGTTCTGAAGTTTACAGCGTTTGGGTGTTTTTTTATGTGTATCATTTCTTTGATAATTCATTTTTTATAATTGTTTTCTCGGTCCAAAATTTCAGGTTCTCTGAAACTGAAATTATGCTGGTTACTTAATGCATGTTCTGATAATGCTGTTTTTGTTTTGTTTTTTAATGTATTGCTTCGTTTGTCCAATGTAAGTTTGATTGCAATCTAGTCAATTTAATTTATATAATACATTTGTGTTGTCAATTTTTGGTAACGGTGGTTTGAAATTAGTGAATAGTTTTAGAAATTTTTTTAGTAGTATCTATTATTTGGATAAATGAAATCCACATTAGCAATGCCGGAATTTACCGGCAACAACGACCACTATTAGTGCGATAGCAATCCTCACCGTACCGTCAACATTAGATCTCAAGGAGGGTTTGGTTTCATGCCCGTTTGCACCGAATAAAATAAGTACTACTTAGCTTTAAGTAGTTCTTAAAAGACGGAAATGGTTTGCACCGCAAGTTAAGTCACGCTAAGAATCGAAAGATGCCTAACATTAAGCAATAACATGGTTATAGTAAAGAGGTTATTATCATGTTACTGTTAAATAATAAAATAAACAATATAATAATTATTAAATTAAATTATCTTTAAATGGAAGTTGGTGTGTATCATTTATGTTATTGTATTGTAATGTACGGATTATTTACATTCTAAGAGTAGTAGTTAGTATCTGATTATATATTAGAAATTTGAAAATGTACACAATTTAGCTGGAGTAGTAATAAGAACGCCAATAGCCGATCATTGGTATGGAAGGTAAACTAATAATATACAATAATAGTACGTTTTATCAAAAGTATGGTTTTTATTGAAAATAAATACTTAGATTACACTTAACAATTCACTTTGGTAATTGGCGTTAACGGTTAATCTCATGTAGTACTGCTTTTAGTTGAAAAAGGTCTGTTTATAAGAAATTCAGAAGAAAATTGTCTTTACACTATACTAATTATAACTAAAAATTGTTTTTAACACTAAGTATATCACTAATATTTATACAAAGTAATACGCAACAAATCCTAACAAAACACAAATAATTACAAAAATAAAAACGTATAACAGCAGAAAAAGGCGGCAAGCACTTCACGACACCCGACGTTACTTAACAGACACAATCAATTCGAAACTTCTTGACCATTCTGCACAAAAAACCTACAAATTGCTAAATTTTACCGTTGTTGCCAAACCATCAACAGCTAAGCACTACTTACTTAAGTTATAGGTAGGCAGCGTACGATGGAAACGAATTGGAAGTTAAGTAAGATTTATGCTTAGGTAGTATTTTGTTAAGTCTGCCTTAGTAAAACGTTGGTGCAAACGGGCATGATAGTTAGCGAGTGGTCCCATCAACGTTTATTAATGGACATGCCTTAGCGGTCAGAATTGTGGTACAACAAAAGAAAGAGATGGAACGAAATTTCGGACAATATTCATCTCTCTTACGATAGTGCGTAAGCGTGTCATGAAAGAGATAGCACTAGTCCGAAACCATACGCATACAATAAATTAATACAATCACATACGGCTAAGGCACGTCCATTAATATATGTCTATGAGTGGTCCTATATTATCTACGGTCCCATACAAACGTCGAAATTTGCCGACCCAGTACCTATCGTACCTATTCTATTCTTTATTATTACCAAAAATGTTTCCAGCACACAAAAATATCAAAGTAAAAAACATTACAAAATAATTTATACTTAGCAATAAATAGTATTCAGTAAAACTTCCGTACCACGGCTTTTTCGAAAATGTAATTTTTTCCCACTTCATACGTGGGCGAAACACGTGTCCGCTCAAATAAAATTATTTGTGGTAATTAAGGGTGAGTATTCCTTTTAATTTTTAATTAATATTTACCACAGTCTCCTCTTTCTAATTTTAATTTTTTCTTGTTGGAAATGACTTAAAATTACGTAATCATGGAAAACATGAAATAATCGGAAGGAAGGTGTTTTGAGTAATTTTTATTGAAAATAAACACTTTAAGATTACACTTAACAGTTCATTTTGGTAGTTGCCGTTAATGGTTAAACTCCTGTAGTATTGCTTGTAGTTGGAAAAGGTCTATTTATAAGAAATTCAGAAGAAAAAAATAAGGGGAAGGTGTTTTAAACAATTTTCTTTGTAAATAAATATGATATAGTTATATAACCTATGCGAAATTCACAATCACTTATCATAGATAACAGTCACTAACCAGTCGTTTCTGACTTCGCATCTGAAGTTCAAGCTTCATTCAATTAAAAAGTGATATCCGCTTAACTGTTGTTTATACGATATATGTAGATATAATTTGTTCCCGTTCGAAGAAGGTGCAGGTATAATGTATGTATATAAAATAGGGGAAGGGGGCACTGTTGCATACCTTAACTTAACCTAAGTTAATTTATGTTGTGTTACATTAAGTTGAGTAGGCTAGATTAAGGTATGCAACAGTGCCCCCCTACCTCTATTTTATATACATACATTGTACCTGTAACTACAGTGGAAACATTTGTATTTATTTATATACTATACACGACTGTTGAAAAACGTAAACCGTAGAGGGTGTAGAGGCGAGTCAAAAACGGCTGTCACCCTATGTGTATCTATGACGGCTGTTGTCTATGATAAATAACTGTGATATTCCCATAGGTTATAGACCATAGATAATAGATACACAAAGGGTTATAGACCTTTAAAATATATAATTAGAAGGATATTTGTTAAAACATATTTGTTTTTTTCATCTGCGTTTCTAATAAATAGACCTATTCCAACTAAAAGCAATACTACAGGAGTTAACTGTTAACCGGCAACTGCCAAAATGAACTGTTTGTTTATTTTCAATAAAAATTACTTAAAACACCTTCCACCCGATTATTTCATGTAAGTTTTCGATGATTAGTTCATTTTAAGCCGTGATACGGAAGTATTGCCGAAATTTTTTACGTTGCTATATTAATCAATTATGGAACCAGAAGAGCACTTACTTGGACTAAAAGGTTCGTTTTTCTAGTAAGACAACTCAATATTGGTACATATTTTATTTCAGTTATGAGACTTACAAAACCTACTTTAGCCAGCCCTTTGCCCATCACTTGTGATACCAAAGATTTACCTGGCAACCTTCTCAATAAAGCTTTAAAAGACGATCCCACAGCAGTTTCGGGATTAGAAACCATATGTATAGGGCAGTTTCTTTTACTCCCACAAAGTCCAGTTAACATTTATCTCGGGGAAACGTTTTCAAGTTACATATGTGTTTATAATGATACTAAAGATTCAGTTAATAATGTTGCTGTTAAGGTGGACCTTCAAACAAGTTCTCAACGATTACCACTAGCAATAAATCCACCAATTCCTATATTAACACCTGATGAGAAAGTAAACATTGTAATTCATCATGAAGTTAAAGAAATTGGAACTCACATGTAAATAACATTGGTATATTTAAAATCATGTATTCCTTAAAATTTACTTGTAGACTTGTTTGTGAAGTGTCATATGAAGGTAGTAATAGAACACCCACATCATTTAGAAAATTTTTTAAAATACAAGTTTTGAAACCTCTTGATGTCAAAACAAAATTCTATAATGCAGAATCTGATGATGTGTATTTAGAAGCACAAGTCCAAAATATTACATCAGGGCCTATATTTTTGGAAAGAGTAGAACTAGACGCCACCCATTTATTTAATGGTATGAAATATAGTTGATCTATAAAAATATTTTTAACTTGTTTTCTATTCTCTCAGTTGCTTCTGTAAATGTTAAAAAACAAGGTGGGAGTATTTTTGGAAAATTAACAATGCTGCAACCCCAGGCAACATGTCAGTATCTCTACTGTCTTAGCCCTGATGCAAAATTATCTGCCGATACTAAACTTTTAAGTGGTGCTACAAATGTGGGTAAATTTGATATTGTTTGGAGATCCAATCTAGGAGAACGTGGACGATTACAAACAAGTCAACTGCAAAGAATAGTAAGAAATGCGTGATAAAATCGTTTCTTCTTCCTGAATAGTTCAGATCTTTTTCTTTCTATTAAAATTTCTTTAAATTAATTATTTATAGAGTCCAGAATATGACGACATCAGATTATTTGTTCAGGAGTATCCAAACTTTGTACTATTGGAAGAAGCGTTCCATTTTAAATGTAGACTTACAAATAACAGGTAATAAAAATACATCTACTTTTTTTTTTAATGCTCTTCAATTTTAATTAAAGTGAGTATACGATGGAGTTGACATTGTCTGTGGAAGAATGTGATGGAATAACATGGTGCGAAATATCTGGGCAAAAACTCCAACCACTAAGTCCTAAAGGGACCGTGGATTTAGAATTAAAACTTGTACCACTTGTTCCTGGTTTAAGGTCAATATCAGGAATAAGATTAGTTGACACTTTTAATAAAAAAACATATTCATTTGACGATTTTATTCAAGTTTTTGTTATGGTTAATGATAAAAAGCAAAATGAACAGTTAGCAAATGTCATAAATATAACCAAAGATAAGTCTACAATAAAAGTTATTTAAATCGTTTTTTTAATTTATTAAATTCTTCATTCATTCTTACAAACCATTCTTGAAATATCATAGAGGAAGAATTCTAAAAAACAAACGTAAATGAAGATTACTTTGTATAATACAACAGTACAACAACAATGACGGTTTAAGTTTAAAATTTGTAATTAAGTAAAACAAGTTTAACATAAAAGTTTAAATTAAATGCTGTCTTTGTAAAAAACTATTAATCAAAAAAATTGTTCTTATTTTTAACTTCTTAAAGTGCAATTATATGTAAATATTTGAGTAAAACAACAGTAATTTCAAGTTATAATTCTTGAAAAACATCATCAACTACATCAAAGAAAAGTAGATTGAAAATATCATTGTAGAAATCTTTATAATATTCACATGCTCTTTTACAATCAGGCATCCAGTTGATTTCTAATAATTTGGGGTGTATCTCATTTTCTGCCCATTCAAGCATTACATCTGCTGCATATAGCGCTCTTGACTGAGGATTACTTGCAATCCCACAAGGAGGCTCTTCCATAACAGCACATTCAAAAACTTCACTGAACATTTTAAAAATCTGTTTCTCAACATTTACCCAAGGATGATCTGCATATTGCATTTCCCATTCAACTTTAAAATCAGAACATAACATGTGTTTAATTTCCCCTTTATCTGTATAGTTCATCACTGTAAAATGTTGACTGTAATCTTCAAAATTTTTTAATTCAAATGGTTTATTAGCAAAACGTAAAAAGAAATTTTTATAAGCATAAACTTTCAGTGGTTTCACAGAGACAAGTAAAAGCACATAACGAATATCAAATTTTACCTTTCCACTTACAGAATGTTCAAAAAATAGTACAGGATTTTCAATATATTGTTGAGCAACTTTTGGTCCAGTTGTGGCCAGTCTCATAATACAATTTATATTATTTGTGATGTAAGTATCTAACCCTCTTGCCAGATTAAACGGTTTAATGATCCAATAGTTGTATAATTTTGCTTTTTCCTTTTTTTGAAAATAACTTACAAACTCCACTAATTCTATTTTTAAATTATAAGTCACTGGAAGCCAGTCTGGCGTTGAATCAGATTTTCTTCTACAGACAATACACAATAGGTCCTTTATAGTAAGAACATATTCAAATGGAAATTGATTTATGAATTTTTCTGGAGTTTCAGCTAATTCATCAAATGTTTTATAATGCTTGGTATACCACAAAATGTCAGCATCATTTTCACTGTCAACAATTTTGAATTTAGGGTCAGTTAAGTACTTATTTATCAAATTGTATTCAGAATAAACTTTGTATGAAGATTTCTTAAACGCAGCACCTTGAGATTTGTACATACTTGGGATTCTTTCTTTGACATGACCACTTAAAAAATAGTCAGCATTTAATTTTTTGTGACTGTGATCTTTTTCCAAAAATGAAGTGTATTGCCATGGCAGTAAATAAGCCGCTCTTTCTTCTTCAGTACATTCTACCTCAACAAAATTTCTTGTTACAGTTTCCTCAAAGTCAACATCTTTTACTGGAAACACTACAGAGTATGTCATCTGATCAGGGATGTAAAAAAAGGGTACCATCCTAAAATTGGGATCATCACTATGTCCTATTGCAGAACCAACTTCATCCATTATATACCAAATTGGAGTTTGCTCCTCCACACTTTCTGCATTTGCTATGGAATAGTAATTGCAATATTTCCACATTACTTTATAAATTTCTTCAATAAGGTTTTCTGTATCCTGGTCCTGATTTATATTAAGTAAATTTGCCAATCGACTTCTTAAAGAATGCAATTCATAAAGTTGTTGTTTTGCATTCTCCATTCGAAATGTCCAAGCATGATCTACTATGTATATTTGCTGTGAATCATTTGCTTTAATGCCTTGTTCATTACTGACTCTAAGTTGCCATACCGCATCGAATTCTCCACGATTTCCATCTTCATAATCAATGCGAAGCAAACAAAAAGTTCCACCGGCATCGAATATTTGCTTGGATACTTTCCGGTATAACGTTTCCCATAAATGATGAGGTACTCCAGATGAAATTAACTGAAGCTTGTGAGTATTTACAAAATTTTCGAACAGTTTTTGATGAACCATTATTTTAATAAGTATTAAATTATAAACATATTCGATTATATCAAAAAATGTAATCCATTTTCTAGGTTACTCGATAAATAATTTGGCATATTTTGAACGTCATCCGTCAACCGTCAGACATTCAATTAAATTTATTAAGTTGTCAACGGATAACAGATTCATCTATAGAACAATCCTATCCTAATAGATATACAAACTGTATGCCGCATTGTGCGCTCAAGTGTTCTAATTGAAAAACTACCTGTATTTCTTTAATCTATGAGTCTAACTGTGGTGTGACAGCTAGAATCGAGTGATTTCTCTTCTTTACACACTATTTGTTTTGCCTCAACTATGGTTAACCTCTTGAAACTTAAAAATTGTCAAAACAAATGAATTTTGCAATAACATAAAAATTTTCAAAATACAAAATGGGATTTTTGACGGTTTTAAAGAAAATGAAACAAAAAGAAAAAGAAATGCGCATACTTATGCTGTATCCTTCTAAAAATTACATTATTGTATATATGGAAATGTCTATTGATTAATTTCCTTAATAAATACATTAGAGGATTGGATAATGCTGGAAAAACGACTATTTTGAAACGTTTTAACGGCGAAAAAATTGATACGATTTCACCTACTTTGGGGTTCAACATTAAGACATTAGAACATAGGGGGCAAGTTGTTACATTATGTTATGCTTTTGTGTATTGTTATAGTTATATTTTTAGATACACATTGAATATTTGGGATGTCGGTGGTCAAAAATCAATAAGATCATACTGGAGAAATTATTTCGAATGCACAGATGGTTTAATATGGGTTGTTGATAGTGCTGACAGACATAGATTAGAAGATTGTAGAGTTGAATTACATCAACTTCTTCAAGAAGAAGTAAAAATAAATTATTTATATTATTCAGAAATCAGCTTATCTTAAATGTTTTTATTTTCAGCGTTTAAGTGGAGCTACACTTTTAGTATTTGCAAACAAATTAGATCTTCCTGGTGCATTATCAGCAGAAGAATTAAGAGATGTATGACTAATTAATTATAAAATTGTAACATAATATTTATTAAA